GCACCAGGTGCACACAATCAGCTGCAACAGACATGGGGGAAGGGGAACACTTTTCAACATAAAACTAGCAAACAGAGACATACAAACTAAAACACATACTGATGCACAAACTACATACACTTCGCCACCAACAAAGCTACTCAATCCGTAACGGATACAACGTTACAAGCATTTTTAGCACTTTCCGGTTCACTCTCAAAGTCAATATAATTCGTTTTTACACAAACAGAAGAGATATTCATGTTTTGTTGCACGACATAAAATGTATTTCAGTAAATACCCCACTGGTGAACATCTGAAGCCTCAATGTGTCTTAGGAAAGGGACTAAATGAGACCACTAAAGGTCATCAAGCAGGAAATTAGCCGCCTTTAGCTGAGCAATGGTAATGCTCAGCCATGTGAATATGACATTTGTTTTTAGCCTAACGTTATTTTTTTTACTTCTGGTAATTGCATTTACACTTGTTTGTTAATATGTGGACATTATCCTACTAAACAAAACATGTAAGCATCATAAACAAATGTTTGCCACAGACCTTGTTTTCTGCTATAATCTAAAATCCAATTTCAAACTCCCCTTGCTTTCTGTGGAGGAAGTGCTCGTGATGTTCCTCCTTCAACAACACGTCATCACTTCTCCACTGTAAAGCCAGTCATTAACAGGATCAGGAAGATAAATTGTAATTTAATTTGACCTTTGCTACCATAGAAGCATGATACATTTATTGATATGTGAACATGAACTTATTATCTTGTTGTGTCCTTCAGGTTTACAGGGCTCTCGGGTTGAACCAGTCAGAGATCGAGGAGTTCTTCTCCGGCCCCGCGTTCCTGGCCTGGAACCGAATGGGGAACCTTTTCAAGTTTGGAGGGCCCCTGCCTCAGTCCTGGCACGTGAACCAGCTCTTCCTCCAAGTACTGAGCCGTCCATTCCTGTCAACACAGATGAAGCCACTATGACTAGAATCATGTTTTTATAACTCTGGCACCACCAAGTGGTAGTGACAAACACATGAGTGAGATTGAGTGAATGTGCTGAAAGCAGACCAGTTACAAACTGCAGTATGTCTTATCTTTTTAAAACACAAACTATTAACACATCACTATTGTACATAATAGTGGCTTCAGAGGTATTTTCTCTTTTTACGATACCGTTGCACTCAAACGGTTTTTGTGAAGATTTCAAACAGTGACAACAAACTAATTGATCTAATCCACTTTATGAGAAGGTAGAATTGAACTGTTCACATTAGTTAGTGGATTAAACCTTTTTTGTTTTTCTCTCTTTTTAAAGTTTAAAATCTTGGAGCGGATGAGATCCTTCGGCATGATTCCCGTGCTGCCAGCCTTCTCTGGGAACATTCCCGCTGGAATCCTCAGGTGACTCATGCTGGTTTAGGTTTTCCTATACTGCTGATTTTTTGTAGGCTCGTACTAACAGGGATATCTAAAGTAATTTAATATAAGTCACCTGCTGAGAACAATCCCATACTTAGTTTTCCTAAATGTTGATATGAATAATAATCTGATTGTTGGAATAACAGCTGTTAACTGCGAATTGTTCACAAGCTTCAATTCAATAAGCTTAATTCATTGATCTTATATGAATATACATTACATTACACTTGTTAGACGCTTTTATCTAAAGCGACTAACATACATTCAGTACTGTGGGCAATCGCCACAGGTGCAATTTGGGGTGAAGTGTCTCAGGGACACAACGACATGCTGACTTCAGTGGGACTCGAACTTGCTAACCCCTGATTCGAAGTTCAGCACACTCCCCACTGAGCCACAGCCTCCCACAAGATACAAGATAACAACTCCTGAACTTGATGAACGTGATCAGCTTAAGGATTTCTCACAAACTCAACTTCATTATTATAGTATCATCTGTCTATCATGCAGACCAAATGTTTCACATTCACTGTTCGAGGGACAGTTATGCTGTTACAGTTGAGGTCTGCACATGCAATCGCAATTCTATGAGAATCACCGCATGGACTAGCCCAATATCCAAATCCAAGGAAGCCCAATATTTGTAAACAAACGCTGTGTTAAAATTAAATTTGAAAGGAAGTGTTGTGTTGCTGCAGAGATAACCCAGCATACAAAATGTTTACATATTTGTTTGGAGCAGATGTGTTTCAATGATAATGAGAAATTGATCAATCCCTCTATAACTATAAATCATATCGCAATTGCAAAGTCTGTCAAATGAATCCCACTCCGTTTTCAGATCGGGAGCCCTAATACTGATACTTCTGTGAAGATAATATGGCTGGGCCCAGTGAGGTGCAGATTCAGCTCTAACCTCTGAGGTGTTTCCTGTGTTTCAGGCTGTTCCCAGAAGCCAATGTGACCAGGCTGGGCCCCTGGGCTCACTTCAACTGCAGCTACTCGTGCTCCTACGTCTTAGACCCCCGGGACCCTCTGTTCCTGCAGATTGGCTCCCTCTACCTGTCTCAGGTGGTGAAACAGTTTGGAACAGATCACATCTACAACACTGACACCTTCAACGAGATGACCCCCCCCTCCTCTGACCCCGCCTACCTGTCAGCAGTCAGCCGCTCCGTCTTTGCCTCCATGACCGCAGGTGAGCGTCTAGACCACTAATGTCCTGATCGAACGCTTCCTGCCAGAATTGATGTCACAAGTGAAACAACTGATGACCCGATTATGACCTGTTGTCAGGCTTAGGGAGTAACGGATTACATGTAACAGGATTACGTAACCAGGACACACAAAATACTGTCTTCACTACATAAACAGTACTTTACTACTTTACTGATACATTTTTCAAAAACGGGATTGCTAGCAGGATAAAAACATTTCAATAATCAACAATACATTTTAAAATAAATATCAATTTATGATGGGTAGACAAGACATAAAATTACAAGAATTACAAGTAATAATTAGTAATAGTAATTATTAAATTAGTAGTAATTTGTAAACTATACTATTATGTAGGCCTTGCCTATAATTTAAGGTGACATATTTTTGATCGAAAATATCCAGTTTTCTTCTTTTCATATTGTTTTGTTGCTTTTAGGGGTGCCCACACTTTTTCAGCTTGGGAGCTACTTTTAAAATGACCAAGCCCAAAAGATCTACCTACAGGGCCGCCCCTGCCCAATCTGTGTCGCGAGCGCGAGGGGTGTCCTAGTGGAGTAAACGGCGGATAAACTGTGGCATTTACGCTTCAGATGAGGAGGTGAGGCCCCCCTCATAACTGCATGAACCTGTATGGCACAATACAACTCAGACTGGCTTACCTGTACGTCAATCAAGTGGCAAAATGTATATATACCTGTATATATATATTTTTTCAACGCCATGCGATCTACCCACACTACCTTTGCGATCGACGTAATGGGCACCCCGCTTTACATAATACCTCTAAGTGGAACATATCTTATTGTTATTCCTTTCTCTCTTATGTATTTGCATTTCATTTGATATCAAGGTAACCAAAAGTAGCTGAAAGTAATCAGGTTACATTACTTTGTACCTGTGGTATTAGCTTACTGATTGCATTGTTGAAAATATGACTAGTAGTTGTAATGGATTACATTTATAGTAACTCAACCCTGCCTGTTGTTCAATTCTCCTACACAGAAAGCCCCCTTTAGTATCTCGCTGACTTTTCAGCCATGCTGGAGAACTGTCACCTTCTTACCCCTCGTCTAAATCTCATGTTTTGTCCCCAGTTGATCCTCAGGCGATCTGGTTGATGCAGGGCTGGCTGTTCTTCAGTGACACAGCGTTCTGGAAGCCGGCCCAGATTCAGGCTCTACTACACGGAGTGCCTCTGGGCAGAATGATCGTGTTGGACCTGTTTGCAGAGACGGAGCCAATTTTCTCCTACACAGAGTCTTTCTACGGGCAGCCCTTCATCTGGTGCATGCTGCAGAACTTTGGGGGCAACAGCGGATTCTTTGGCACAGTGGAGAGCATGAACTCGGGGCCCTTCAAAGCCTTACAGTTCCCAAACTCCACCCTGGTTGGCATAGGCATGACACCCGAGGGCATTGAGCAGAATCCGGTGATGTATGAGCTGATGAGCGAGCTGGCGTGGCGTAAGGAGCCGGTCAACCTGTCGAAGTGGGTGTCGCTGTACGCTATCCGTCGCTACGGAAGCACGCAGGACAGCCTGACGGCGGCGTGGAGGCTCCTGTTCGCCAGCGTCTACAACTGCACCGTGCCACACTACAAAAACCACAACCACAGCCCCCTGGTGCACAGACCCTCTCTCCACATGAACGCTGACCGGTGGTACGACCCGGCTGATTTGTTTAAAGCCTGGAAACTAATCATCGAGGCAGCTCCATCCCTCATGTCCAAGGAGACTTTCCACTGCGATCTCGTGGACGTGACTCGGCAGGTCCTACAAGTCCTGACAACAAGCTTCTACCAGGATATCGCAGATGCTTTCAAGAACCAGAAGCTGCCGGAGCTGCTGACTTCGGGGGGGGTGCTGGTGTACGACCTCCTGCCTGAACTCAACCGTCTGCTGAGCAGCGACCGCAACTTCCTGTTGGGGACATGGCTGGAGAGGGCCCGCTCCTTCGCCCTGGATGAGAAGGAAGCCCAGCTGTACGACATGAATGCCAGGAACCAGCTCACTCTGTGGGGTCCCAGCGGTGAGATCCTGGACTACGCCAGCAAAGAGTGGGGGGGCCTCATGGAGGACTACTACGCCCAGAGATGGGGTCTTTTCGTTGAAACCCTGGTAGACTGTCTGGACACTGGACGGCCATACAAGCAGGACACCTTTAACCAGGCCGTGTTCCAGGTGGAGAAGGGGTTCATTTACAATGCCCGAAAATATCCGACCAAGCCTCAGGGCGACACGTACGAGATCGCCCGCAGGATCTTCCTCAAGTACTACCCCCAGGCCTTGAAGAGACTATAGTGAGCAGAGGATTCATTTTGGAAAAACTTGTCTCAAGTCACAGCAAGAAGAATGTCTCCACCTCCAGTTTTCCATGGCTGTCCCAAAACATTTTGAAATGGAAACTCTAACACCTGGATTTGCAGGAACAATCTGTTTTGCATACATAGCCAAATCAGTGGATAGCTGAGTATGATGAAGGGAACAAATACTTTTACTTTACATTCACACTTTAGAAATATTCAATCAAGCCTTATCAAACACAAGTTCAGCAAAAACAAAAGTGTTATGAGTGGTGCAGTGATGACAAATGTATGTAGGCCAACCATTGCATGGGCTCCCTCAAAAAAAGCAATAGGATTTTCACATAAAACATTTAAAATTGGAATATTGCAGAAAATAAGATCTGTGGCAATCACACTTTTTTGATACTTCCATGTTTTTTCAGCTGGATAATCTCCACATATTAACACAACTTTTATAATAGTTGAGGCATATGCAATCGGCAGAAGTAAAAACAAACAATACATTCCGAAAACAGACGAGGATACTTGTTACTGGTAAAATGCAGACTTGTTTCCAGGTTTGAGGACTCATCATTCACCACTCTTACATAAGAATGTTTACAATGGATCCCTTTTTTGGCATTTCATGTGTGCGTCCCTTGGTACTGTTTTTAATTCCACTGCTCTGGTTAGCTTAGCATAGCATAAAGACTGCAAGCAGGGGAAAATAGCTAGCTTAGCTCTGTCCAAAGTATTATGTAAATTACACAGTGTATTTTGTTTAACATGTACCCCAAGAGAAGACAACATTTTGGGTTCAGGAAGAGTTGGGATGTGGAACTAGTTCCTAACGGTTTGATCTGCATCTCTTGCTATAGCCTGGTTCTCCAGATAGTCACTTGGCCCAGGTGTTTGTCTCTGTACAGGAACAATGTCTCAAAACATGGCACTGTAATGACTTCAGGAATCTGGAGGATGATTCAAAGTAGGTTCAGAATTAAAGAAATGTTTTTTTACATTTCAGAACAGGTTTCAGAATCAGACTAGCTGTTCCCTGCTTCGAGTCTTAATGCTAAGCTAGGCTAAACTCCCCTGCACCTGATCAAATCATTTCCTCTTTTCTTTCTACATGATCTAGAGTTGTTCTTTTAATCCGAGGCACTACATTAAGGTGGAAGATGGGGTTTGAGTTGTTTGACCCACAGGAAACCTTTAGCCATAAAAAAAACACTCATTTTCAGACCATGCACATCAGTTCAAAGTAGATTTGAATATATCATTCTTAGCAAACTGACTGGACTGAGTGCAGCACAGACATCATAGTTCATGTGGATGTCTTTGATCATGCACAATAATTGTGTACTTAATTTACCATGACATGCTTGTGTTGTCGTGAGGTCGGACCATTACACAATACGTTTCTGTAGAGTTTTATAAACAGGGATTGTTTATTTCTGAGTAATTGCTATAACAACTTGGCACTTGGTGCCTTTTTCTTTTTAAATATACTTTTATATGATGTTTACCTGAGACATTCCACATGTACAAAATGTATTGACAACTTTCTTTTAGAATTATTTGGTTTAGTATTTAAAAAATGTTCGTATTCATTTGAGAACAAACGCTACATGTAGAATAGATTCTTTATTGTATGAATGCTATTTTTGTATTTTCATAAATTACTGTTGTGATTATTCAACTCAGGCATGTCAGAAAGTCTAAAGGCTGTGACTAATAATACAATGTTTTAATTCTCCACCTCTGTCTTGTGTGTGTGTGGTCAATGGTAATATAACACACACACACACACACACACACACACACACAGAGAGAACATGCTCCACATAAAGGCTCTCGCTGCTCAACATTAAAAACCATGAAACGTCTGGACGTGATGTGAAATCATAAATGAATACTTACATTCTGTGGGAATCTGACGTCATTCTCACCTGACGGTGTCACCTGATGCGGTCACATGACCGGTGATCGGGTAAACAGGAAGTCATAAAAAGTTTGCCGTCAGTTCAAGAAAGTCTCTCCTTGGCTGCACGGTCACTGGTCTTTTCGCTCTCACAAAGGTAGGAATAACAGTTTTAAGGTGTTTTTATGGTCTTTTAAATTAACTTATGCAAGTGGCTCATTTAGTTTGGGTTTTATTAGGGCGAGTGCAAGACGACATTTTACTGTTGACTGAGGGAAACTCTCCCGACAGGCACAAGACCGGGTCTGTTACGAGCAATTTTCTTTTAAATGGCGTTTTAAACCGACGTTTTTAATTGTGTTTTAAGCAACCTATTTGTATGTTTTACAGAGCTTAATGTACACAACCGGCCCAGCTACCCGGGATATTAAGTGACCATTTCCATTTCCCCGGCAGGATTAAGCTGAGTTGGAAATCTACTCTGTGAAAGTATGCCTTGTTTTAACTTTCGTTTTATATTGAGTTGGTGAATGAGGCTGGCAACTAACATGTTATGTTGTTTCCTTTTCAAAAGGACCAGGCCAGCCACTGTTCTAGTGTTTTTTTAGTATTTTCTTGTTCATTTTCTTCATGTGCAGTGTATGGCAATATAATCATTTTATTGTTTTTTGTCTTAGGTTGCGCTCCTCTTCCTCTGCGGCGTATGCCTGGGCCCGGGTGGAACGCTGCCTGCCTTCAGTGTAGGGACTGTACGGTGTGACACTTTCTTTTCTGTATGCTAAATATCTCACTGTTATTATTTTATTGAGATTGTGGTTTGAATATTGCATGCTTTCGTTGTTTTGGTGTGTGGCTTTTCTTGTTTTTGTCCCTCACGATTAGCAGGCACTGCAACCCAGCGGACCAGGGGCCTCATTTATAACGCCGTGTGTAGGATTCACGTGGGAAGGTTGATTACGTAGTAGAAATCCAAAAAATAGGTACAGAAATTTTCCGACATTTTCCAATTCACCAAACATTGCGTACCGGCGAGGAAAGTGCGTACAGCACTTCCTATGCCGTTTTCCCTTTATAAATCACAATCGACTCGAAATGCGGTGCAGTTTTTGCGGGCTTCACGTAACGCCCATATTTGCCTGTAAATAGTCAAAGAAACGCCCATTGATTTTGACTGACTTTATGAAGAAGATCGCAGGAAATGAGGA